GGCCGGGCGGCTGGCGGCATTCGAGCACGATGTCGTCGCATGCGGTTTGGACCGGCAACGGTCACACGATTCTGTATGCACCGTACGCCTACGAGAATGTCGTCGGTCCGGAACATCTCTGGAATCCGGACCTTGTACATGCATTCTTCGCTCGACACTGGAGCTCGTCAATTTACCTAGCACTCGGCTATGTCGCTATTATTAACGTTTTGCAACGAGTTATGGAAAATCGGAAACCATTCAGGTAGCGGATTTATCTTCAACTTATTCGCGTCTTCTTGTAGAGGCTACGCCATGCCTTGTTATTCCATCTTTTCCAAATAACTAATACATGTCGGCTTTAAGGCAGTATCCATTTTCTAATTAGCAATATTCAATCACGTATCTTTTCGCATCCTTTTTTTCGAAGCAGTTCACTTTATTTGCTGATATGGGTTAATCTATATGTGATGGTAAAAAGCATACGACCTGCAAAAGTTTGGAACATACTCTTTTCTACTGCGATAGCGCTCTTGTCTCACTCTTGAACCTGCGAAATGCCAAATATCCCCTTTAAAACTAAAGTTCAAAAGATTAAGTATTGCATCACATGTGCCACGTTCACAAAAGTTTCAATCCTTTTCTATAATTCAAACCTTCTCGCTCTATGACTTTTCCATTTTTCTAATCTTGATGCACTGTAAGAGAACAGTTTTTGCGCTGGCACATGCTCTTGCAGCTGCAAGCGACACTTGGATCGGCACTAGTGGCAGCTGAATAAGTGATTTGTCTGGCTGGAATTTCATTAAACAAATAAATTATTACGAATAGTTTATCAGAGGATAGCGCATTATTCTTTGAGTAATCACGGCGAAGTTAAATGGAAATTTGCGAGGGAAATAAATCTTGTTTTCCTCTTACTTCACACCACTGTTGAACGGGGGAAAAGGCCCCCCTTACTGCTTTTCCCATCTTTTTGCCATAGTAAACGAATACAAGGCGTGTATATTTTATTACAGTTACTCATTGTGATTCTGTGACACAAAATTTCCATTTTTTAGTATGAAAACTATATTACTTCTTTGGAATGGTGCTTTGGCTATATTCAGTATGATGGGCACATGGCGATTTGGTCTAGAATTTTTCAACATGTTATGGACAAGGTAAGGATCGTTTT